TTTTTGTGGATGTTTCATTACTTGATACACAAATTCATGATGAATACAACTGACAGGAGTTGGAAATGATATTTGTGTATTATTCAATGATTGCATTAGATATTGTTCATTTGATAATATTAATGATATTTCATAAATAGATTTGTTTGTTGTACAGTCGAAAGTTGTGAATTGTTGATGTAACATTGCCTGTAATCTTTGTGCAACTATACAAATTGTTTCAGCATTAAATAAATCAAGTGATGCATTAATGGTACATGAGAATTCACTTAGATTTAGATCATGTTGAAAGCTAAGAATGAAATCAAATTTACTCATTATTTCATCATCACTAATATTAATCGAATAAGGTAGTAAAGAAAGTCGACTATCACCGATCATTATTTCATTCTCTTCATCTCTTCTCATAGATGATACAAAGTCAAATGATGTATCAAGAAATACAGGATTTGATATATTTGGATGTTGGTTGAGAATACGTTGAAGTGGAAAATATGAATATTTAATACAATTTATCATATTATGTTCAACGTGCTTAGTAATTTGATCAAATGATAAATGAGGATCGAGTTGACATCGTAAAGGTATAGCATTCACAAACATTCCAATGATAGAGTTAAGTTCATCTCGATATCGACCATGTGTATTTATTCCAATGCATAAATCTTTTTCTCCATTCGTTAATTTGAATAAAAACACATAATAAGTAGCAAGTGCAAGATATTCCAGTGATATATTATTTGATGATGCATGAATAAGAAGGTCGTGTGAGAGATCTTGACCAAAGTCAAATGAAATAGATGTTCCACGACCAGTTCGATGTTCATTTGAGAGACGATATCGGTCATATGGTAATGATAAAGGCTGATCAAGTTTACACTCATGGAGAATATCAAGCCAAAACATGCTTGCACCATTCATTGACATTTGTTGTTCAATGACAGCATCTGCATAATTAAAGAAAAGAATGTATTAGGCAAAAGGAAAAAATATAAGAGCTAATTATATTTACAATCGAGATAACGTAGAAGAATGTTGTCATCATATAATAATTGACCTGTTGTATATGCTTGATTAAGATCATGATGAAACACTCCCATCGATGGGAAGTCAAACAAAGCATGATGAAAGTTGAAAATAATGAGATCTTTGTGAGAACGAAGGTAATTTGAAGAGACTGATTTGTAATAAATAATATGACATCGAAATACAAGACCTTGCGTAAGATCAAAAAGATGAGGATTACGTTTCTCATCGTGTAAAATCTCATTTAATTGTTCATCTGTTTCATAAGTAGTTTCGATGATTGAAAACATATTATTAGTGTTGTTTTTATCTTCATGAGTAATAACTCGTTGCATAAGTAGATTCTTGTCGATGTCAAAATGAAGTGATGTGTGAAGTGAGGGATGTTTATTAACAGCAAGATAAAGAGCATGATGAAGTTGTTTAACTGATAAAGTATGACCTGGTTGGAGACGATAAACAAAAGGCATATTATAGATTGCTGTTTGAGGCTTGTCTGGATCGAATCGAATTCTTTCGTCAAGCCAAATGCGAGCTTGTGCAAATGATGCTGGTGCTAGAATAATGAGAACTTAGTGAATGATTATATAAAAGCTGGAGACCTAAATTAGGTTTGATAACAATATTATAGTCACTTTCCATCTAATCACCTCTCTAACTGAACAGAGTTTTGTATTATGAGTGTTGGCCGATTATTTTTTGTTAGTGGGAATATGAACTAATTTAATCCTTCAGAATGAAAAGTCTAACACTATATGATATTGGATACGACTTCAAAAGTCGGAAAATATTATTTGTCTTCATAAAATCCGTTAGAACGATTTTGAGGTGGGACTTTTTATGTACATTAATAGTTCTGTGAGATAGTTTTATGTTAATGTTTACATAAAAAACACGATAGTTTGGCGTTTTTATGAAACTGGCATTAACATAATGCAAATACTGACGGCTCTCTCAAAAACAGGTAAAAATATTCACTGTTAGGAATTCATCTTTTAGAAATAAAGTCATGTTGTTTTTTATGAAAGTCGTCAGCATTTTCATTATGCTAATACAGATTCAATACGAATGGTGAAATATTGTTTTCTATTATTAACATAAAAGAACCATGTAATTGTGTAAAATTCTGACAGATAGCATTAGTGTTATCTCAGTACGAATACTTTGCTGATAGTATCAGTTAATACTATTATTAGTTTTATATAAAATTTTCTGATTCACTGAGTAGATCAAAGTTATTTCTCTAACTCATTCAAATGCACTCAAGTATTTGATAAATTTGTCTATGATGATAGGCCATATTTATCAGGCTATTGAATTTATCTTCACTTTTTCTTCCTTTTATAGTTCTTCTCATCATATATATATATGAATCTGTTCATGTTATCAAAACTTCTAATTTAGATGAATAGATAGAAGTTAATATGTCCTGCAACAGAAATCGTTTTTGTGTTGGAAGTTCCAATTCTAGTGAGAAGAGAACGCAACCGTGAGAGAATTTTTCCGTATCCTCTTACTACTAAAAAAGAGAAATTATGTTGTAAAAATCAGAGAACCTCGAGACCAGGGACGAATAAAAAAAGCTCTGCGAACACTCATTTTATTTTATACTTTTATTATTCGTATACTACAAATTTATCGTTATGGTCATGCATATAAGATACAACTTGTTGTCAACTGGCGTAATAATCATGCTAAGCAAGACAATGAAAGAAAACTTAGAACACTATCCTATTTATCCCATAAAATACTCTGATATTGTATTTTACAAAACAAATAAAAGTCATAACATGTAATTAGGTTTACCAATAAAAGAGAGAATGCGAGTGTCTTTTCTTCACGAAAACTTAAAAACAAACACGCTTTTGCAGCAAAAGTAGGATAAAAACACTTTTTAGTAGAAATATCCCTGACAAATTCGATAGTTTGGTGTTGTTCATTTAGTTATTCCCAAAAAGTCCTACAAGACACTTACTATCGCTAAAATACAGGCTTTCTGTAGAATTTTTGGCCCTTCTCAGCACAACTTTTATGGAAAAAATAGTATTAAAATGTTTATTTTATTGATCGTAGAGTGATCATTTTGATTAAGACAAAATATATACAAAAATTATTTCAATTCATGATTATGAACTTGTTGCTTTCTCAACAACAAAAACCATCCGTTATCTTCTTGATAAGATTGAATTTTCATCATATTGAATAGTCTGATCTGAAAATTTGCAAACATAGTGGTGATAGCTCGCCATTATTTCACGCGATATTTAGGTACTATTTCTCTTCATATAATATAGGTGCCACAATTGCAGTACATATATGAGATTTATTATTAGACTTTGTCGTAACTATAATGAAGATTGCTGAGCTTGAAAGTAAGCTAAATCTATGTATTTCTAAAAGAAGATTTGAGAATAGCGAGTTTGGTTATTGTTTTTTTTTATATTTTCTCTTGGTTTTTATCTTTAAGGGAGATATAAAATCGACTGTTTCATGAAACTACGAAGTATTAAGAAACAATGTGTTGTGACACTCAGAACGTGTTACTCTTTTAACTGAGTATCATCTTCAAAAAATAATTCAATAATCACTATCTTCAAGTCTTCTTTCATAACTAAGAAGTTCAGTCCGCTTTTTAAACTCACATGTGTGGTGAAATTGTCATACTTATATTAGATGGAGAGAAATAGCACTAATATTTTAGTTAATGTAAGGAGAAGATACCACTACCATGTTCAGAAAGTTGCAATTCGATATCAACTAATATGACAAAAAACATATTTTGAAAAGAAGGTAATCAATGGTTTTTGTAGCTGTTTAAGTAAAGGAAGAAAGCTCTATACAACTCATTGATGGATTCAATTATGAGATTATGCTCTATTGGATTGCTGACAAGAGAAGTAGATGTTGTAAATGTTTATTCAGCATTTAGAATCGGATCACCTAGTTAAATGTGAGTATTATATTTTCTAATAGAAAAGAGTAAAACTTTTCGAATAACAATGAAACCTATGCTTTCTATATTTCATATTGATTAAATAGTCTGTAGAATCATATCTAACATCTAGCATAAAATGTTTGTGTCCAACTATAGATTTTGTATCTTGTCCTCTAGTCTACGGTAAAAAATAATATTTTCATCGACACTTCCAATGCGAATTGTCCACGTAGATGAACAAACGCTAAAAGTGTGTTTTGATTTATTAGAGGTAGAAATAGAAGAAGACAACGCTTTATAATGCGTTCATTGTACCAATGAACTAAAGGGTTTCAAAGCGTTTCAACGTATAAGATAGCGGAACTGGATGATTAAACTTATTTTAACGACGAGATCAGACAGTCAGTAATTACAACTACAATATCCTGTTTGATGTACTATCTCAGAACAGAAAAATGAATTTTGACATAAAGAGACTTAGAGTATGCAAATAAGAAATAGATGTGAATGCATATTTCGCTTTAACTATTCAAAATAGATAAAATATATCGTAATATTTTCAATCAACAGAATGAAAAAGCAGTAATATAGTCGATAGATTTAAAAGAAAACTATATAAAGGATATGGAAGAAAAGAATTTCTTCGCCCATTTACAGTAATTGAAGTAGTCTTGCATTAATAATTAAAAACCATAATTGATTTCAAATATTTGAGTGTCTAGAAAGACATTTTTTGTTGAAATGGCTGTCAACAATGCAAATATTCGTATCTATTATTTCATCATATTTACCGAAACTATATTGGCTGAGTGTCGATAGTATAGCCATCGCTTATACATACATGTGCTATAATTGGCTATTATCAACACTATTCTGTCTCATTTTGTCTCATCCTCTTAATTTATAGTATTAATTAATGATGATATCGTTCATGTCCTAAACACATCATTAAATAGGCTCGCAAAATGATGAAAAAAACGATGCAATATTTTGGTCATATCCTCGAATACGAATAGTTATCTTAGAAACAGATGGGCACTCCGTCTATTGAATTCAATCTGCTATTTAGACGTGTGCTCTAGATTTTTTAGCAGCATTTTTATAAGAACTTGTTCGAAAACATTAGAATATGTCTGAAATTTATAAGAAGAAAGTTTGCTGTTCTTTCATCGTATTGAATTGAATCCTACTAATTGTTCATTTGAAAAAACTTTGAGTGACTCAGATTTCAGTGATATCGTCTTATTTATCTTCTGAATAATTGCTTAGTTTAAGGATGCTCAAAATCGCTGACAGAGTATTCGAAAAGTGGATTCATTACAATATTTTGATATAAAACGTCAAAGAAATTGAAACTTAATACTTTAACAAAAAACAATAAATTTTTGTTGCATCAGTATTATCTAATATAGTTGAATTCTCTCTCAAAATACATTATAGATTGCTAATATATTTACAAGAGAATGATGTTTTATCTTCCAAGAAGACCTTTCAAACGAATGTACGCATTAATCATAGAAATTTAAAATAGTGAGAGAAGGAAACGACTTACATGTCTATTTCTTGCCATCTTACCCTACTCAAATAGTCTCTCATCTCCTTGCTGATGATTTGACATTAGTCATTAAAGGATCTCTCGAACTTAAATGATCCGAAAATATAGGATTTTTAGAACACCAAGCAAAATCAATTTTACATAATTTAGGAAAGGTTGCTGATGATCACAAATAGTCGGTGAACACAGCCAAAACAGAACCTATGATCATTCACAGGGTAGTAGTAGTTTCTAAACCAAAAATAGAATATAAAGGAACTCTAATGGAGTACGTAAAATCTTTCAAATTTGTAGGAGTAGAAACTAGTACTAAACTTAGTGGGGATATTTCATTAACAGTCAATCAAAAAAAATTAAAAAATTTTTTAATAGATAAAGAAAACTGTTTCGCACTATACCAATAAAGGAAATAAAAATGCGTAGAAAACTCTTTTCTATATACACTCTATGGCACTTTTTCTGGCTATTTACCACCTGGTTCTTTTACACAGAAAAACGACAAGCGACAATAGAATATACTTATTGCTCAGGTATAAGATCAATATACAATCTATCAACATGGGATGATCATACAACTCCTGCATTACCGAGAGAAATAGGGTTGAATAATTATATCTTAAACGATTGGTTAAAATTTATGAAACACTTAGAAGAATCCCATGAAGCAGTAGATTTCCAACAAACCACGAATTCATATTTTATTGCTACTTCCGATACTAAAATTCCCTATAAAAGTTGTGGTTTCAGAAAAAATGCAAAGTTTCAAAATAGATTAGCTGAAAGAGCACGAAGTGGGATTATCTAACCTTTCTGCATATTCAAAAACAATAGTTTCAAATTTTCAAAAAATCTTCCAGTGTTCTAGAATAGACTATTCTTAAATACTTTGAACTTCCTCCTTGATTCCATAACTGTCACAATAAACTAATAAATTAAAAATATATATGAAGCATGCAAATAGCTGTACCAACCCCCACTGTAATTATTATCTTTTGTTTGTTCATTAGTACACTTTCTTACGACCTCTTTCTTTCTTTTTTCTTACCTTCTACCTTCTTCCTTATCATATGCTTATTTTTAGTCTTATTTTTATTGTTATGTTAAATACTATTGCAACAGTTATCTAGTTAACTTACTATAAGGAATAATAAACCTCTAGATATTAAAAAAAGAAAGAAAAGGAAACAACTAACTATATTTTTAGATTGATTTAAACATGATAGGGGGTAGAAGACGATCATGCTGATGACTAGACAAGCTCGGTTCTTTTTCATAGCATTATCAGATTATATTAAATAGATGCAGACTGTCTAATTTTGTTCTCTCATTGTATCCTATCTCTATGATCGATTGTTATGTGAGTTTAAAATACTTTTCTTCGCAGACAAGACGTTGTAACTTATTAACGAGTTATCAATTTAAATAGATTGTGGAAGAATATATAACTATGTCAAAATTATGAATAACCTTTCTGTTGACACATGAATCCATTAACAAAAGTTGATAGTTATATCTGAATGTTGTTAACAACCCTTTCTATTAAAGACAGTCGATTTCAGAAATTCACGAGAAATTAAAGTTATTATAATCGAACAGCTTAAATAAAAAAAATCACCACTTAGTGTCTTGACTCCTTTTTAGTCTATTTACATCTTTTTATCTTTCGTAATCTTTCTTTTGAGAGGAAACTATGAGTGTTGCTTACAACCTACATCTTCAAACTCTTCTCTTCCAGAATAAAGGGACTCAAAGAAATAAAGGCATCAGAAGATCCTAATAGAATAAAAGAACTAAAAGGCTGAAACATAATGTTAGTTTTTCACGAACTGTTTGAATAGGACGAGTTTAATTTCTTATGGATCTATGAGTTTATGGGTTATTGTAATGTTCGCTTCCTATCAATATTCGTAGAGAATTGTAGTAGATTGATAAAATCCTCAGATATCCATAAAAATAGTCCAGTTTTATTTTAACCTTCAAGTGGAGCTTATCTGACAAGAGAAGGTTCATAAGTGACAATCCGATTTTGAGTTCGAAGTCTGTGTATATAGTAAAACTCAGTGAGCTTTGAAAAATTCCAAAAGGATAGGTGCCTCTAGACTTTCTACCTACAACTCTCGATATAAGGTCTAAGAACACTTATCCTTTATAGGATATTCCATACCTTACTGAAATCTACTTTATGCACAGAGTATGAGTTCAAAAGCGATTTATTACTTAGGCATCTTTCTTCGAGAGTAGTCTTTAACGATTCTATACTAAAACTTTTGAGGATTTCTATAGAAGCAATGATTAGATCTTGGTGTAATAAACTTGTGAACTGAATAAGATGGTAGCAGGATACAACTGTTAAAATATTTTTGTATAAACTTATTTTGGACAGACACAAATGTTCGAATCTGAGCGTTATTGCGCGTTCATATCAGAAATATGTTTAAACGCTTCGTGTCTTGGTTATCACGAGAAATAAAGATGTAAAAAAGGATGTGATTGTTAAAACGTAAAAATTCGGATATTTCTGGATGTGTAAAATCCGTTCAGAGACAGAACATACAATGCTTGTTACAATGCGTCAATTTGACTATTCTAACTGTCTGGATGATGCATCATTTGCCATAAATTTTTTTTCTGGCCGATGTTTTATCATTCATATGATGAAATAATTGACAGAAATATCTGGACAGTATTATTCATTTTAAAGAAATCTTCTTTTGTTATATGAGTCCCATCTAAGGTTATAAAACTGAGTTTAACCGTATTGTTACGTTCTCTTCTGACTTCATCATCTTATTTTACTAAACTTCAGTTCCTCCTGTTCGTAGTAAAACATGTAGGAATACGTATTCTCCCAAAGGTCTAACTGCGACAGAGCAATTCTATTTGAATAACTAGATTAAATGGCTAAAATGTAAATTGTTGAAATTTCACTAATATTAATATTGAATGATATGTAAGTAATCATTCATATTCAAAGAAGAATGGCTTTCGTCAGTATTTTCTCGAAAACGATACAATTACTGTTAAATACTTGCATTATTCTCACAAGAAGTGGATTCGAAAAATAAACTTTCAACTATTCATACCGATACGGTAGCGATATGAATTTGTTTTTATTTAAGAATAATCTATTCTCATCTTGTCTCAATTAATTCAAACGCTGGGAAGTGCATAATTGACATATACTCTTGAGTTTTAGGCTTACAACACATTGTGCTGATGTCCCAAATAGATTAATCAGATTAAAACAAAACCAAGTGATGAAATTGCTTTTTTTATATTTCAGTCAACTTTGTGAGATGAGTTATTCGTTTATTCATTTTGTATCAGTATAGTGTATCTGAGATCCTATACATCAGCATAATTCTTTGTCAAATATAAAAAGATCACCGACCAATAAAAAATGATCCATAAAAACGTATATATAAAAATCCCTTAAGTCACCAAACAGTATTACAATACACATGTAATACATATATAAGATTACGTGATAAAACTGCTGTAGTTACTGTATAAAAATTCATTTTCAAAATAACTTTATGGGATTCTATTCTTTTAACATATATCATTAGATCACTCAAAGCTTTAGTTACTAGTCTGAAACTAAAATCTCTGCAGCTGTATTAGAGAATAATCTGAATAAAATAGTCATATGAATTAAGGTGTATAACTAATAAGAATATGCATAATAAAAGCTTGAGCTATAATACATAAATATAACATCCTCTATGGCATCATACATTGATTTAACAGATAACTAAATAGTTTCTAAGAGTTATATACAGCCAGTGTTTGACAATTTTTGCAATCTACACTCGTACATCTAATCAGTGAAAACAACAAACATATCTTTGTATTAGCTTTATATATAACGTCGGAAGAAAACAAAAGCAAACAGAAATGTTTGATGGTAGAGAAATAAGTGATGCAAGTGTTTTACGACCATACCATCCGAATATGACTTAGAGACACTTCTTCTCTGCAATTCTAAGTCCCATTGAACGAATTTTTGGTTTTTCAATACGATTTCAATTTCGACAACCATTAGTTTCTACAATTTATTACTGATAACTAGTGACCTATCACACACTTAATGCTTAGTTTATTTACAAGTCGAAGAGGACTAGTCTCGCCAATGACAATGCACTTTAACGCATATTTCTCATTACTGATTTAACTACTACTTTTATAAAACAATAGAACAAGCTGCATACAATCATACCTTCATTCACAATATTCTCCAATCGATGAAACACGACCAAATCCATTTCTTCAGCTTCTTCAGGAAGAATAAGAGACAATTTGTTAATCGATAAACTCACATTCATCACAGGAATGTTGCTTGATTGTGTTTGAAACAGTTGTTCAAACATATATTGAAATCTTTGAGCTATTTTTGAAATCGTTGATTTTTCAAACAAATCATGTGAACAAACAAAAGAACAAGACAGCTGATTATCATCTGATGACGGGTTGTATACAAATGTTAGCGAGAAGTCAAATTTTGCTACTTCAGCTGATTGTTCTAATGATATTTGTTCTAAATTTGCATCACCCAAACATAAATGTCCCATATCTTTTGATACAGTAATAAAATCAAACACTGTCTCAAGAAATGATACATTCGACTGATTTAATTGATTATCATCAAGAATATGTTGTAATGGATAATGAGAATGTTCAAGAATTGACAAGCATTTTTCTCTCACATGTTGGACAAGTTCATCAAATGACCAATGGAGATCAAGCTCAACACGATATGGTAATGTTGAAACAAACATTCCAATTAGATTTTGTAGTTCATTTCGATATCGATTTGCATTAATAGAACCAATACATAGATCAGTCTCACCATGAGTTAGTTTGAATAGGAAGACATAAAATATGGATAATCCAAGTTGAAAAAGTGTTAGATGATGTGACGACGCATAATTTAGAAATGATGTGCATAATTCATTATCGAAGTTGATCTCAGCTGTGGATGCTAAGCCTGATCGTTGTTGATTAGTTGTTGAACGTTGTCGATCAAATGGTAATGATAATGAACATTCCGTGTTGTATGTTTCAAGTTGATAATGCCAGAATTCACGAGATAATGACATATCCATGATATGTTCATGAACAGAATAATCATTATAATTCAATGAGTTATCATCCACAGATAATGAGTCATCAGATTGATAAGCAAGAGAAAGATCGCGAAGAAAGACTGATGTTGATGCTCCATCAAACATTGCATGATGAATACTAATCAATATGTGATCATTTTTACTCAATAAATCATTATTCTTATATAAGACATTATCTCGAGAGTAATGGCATTGACGAAGAATATGACAACGAATAACACGTCCTTTTGATAAATCAAATAAATCAGCTTGATTTAATATTTCTTCGATAATTTCATTCATATGACGACGATCATCATTATGAATATTAACAAATGTCAAACCATTTGATTTTATTTCATCATTGAGAACAATCTTCGCATCTAAACAGTGTTGTATAATATTACCATTTGTATCATCGATAAAAAGTGCTGTTCGTAGAATATTATGTTTTGTGATAACACTTTGAAATGCATGTTGTAATTGAGTGATTGATACATGATCATTCATAGATGATATATGATAAAGTAATGGAATAACATACATATTATTCATTGTTGTTTTAGATGAAAAACGAATTTGTTCATCTAAATAGATTCGTTCTTGTGCAAATGATGCTCTAGCCTGAATGAGATGTAGTGAAGGCCAAGGATAATCATTCAGAATGTCGATGGTATTGATAGACTGTTGAATGAGTTGAGCATGATGAAGAATTGTTGGATGTTGAAATAGATTAGAGATAGAAAGAGTGTTTGTTTCTAAATGAAACTCGATCTTGTATCGATGAAAAAGTTGCATGATAAGTAATGAATGACCACCAATAGTGAATATATTTGTATCAGTTGAGATCTGATTCTGGTTGAATATCTCACACCAAATGTGATGAATACTAACTTCAATATTATTTGTTGGTAGTAATAGTTCTGTGCTGTCTGTGAGATGTATAGATGAGAATTGAGGTGATGGAAGAAGTTTTCGATCTATTTTTCCATTTTGATTCAAAGGTAATTTATCAAGTATAATAAAAGAAGATGGAATCATATGTGGTGGAAGATGAGATTCGCAATGTTGGCGTAGTTGTTCTTGATTGATATGAGAAGATTGAACATATGCAACTAAATAATCATCATTCCATTTCATAACAACACAAGCAGAAATGGATGTCATGTTAAGTAAACATCGTTCGATTTCACCAAGTTCAATTCTTTGTCCATGTAATTTGATTTGATGATCTTTTCTACCAACATAATGTATCAATCCTTTATTGTCCATTCGAACAAGATCACCTGTTCGATAGAAGAGTTCACTATCTATTTCAACAAGAGCTTTTGCAGTTAAATCATCACGCCCAAGATAACCAGCGAAGATACCTACTCCACCTATAAACAACTCGCCTTCTTCTTCGAACGGTGCAGGTTGCAAAAAAATATCTAGGACCTTGTATTGTTCGTTAGCCAGAACTCTACCAAGAGGAATGTTGTTCTCAAGAGAATTGATTTCGACACGATGACATATCGACACAATGGTACATTCAGCAGGTGCATATATATTGTGGATGTAAAACTCACTTTTAATATGACTTCTAAGGCGGTGAACGAGTTTTTGTGAGAATGGCTCACCTAGAAGATTAAGAGAAAGTTCTATTATCACCTTAATTTCGCTTTACTAACCACCAATGCAAAGTGATCGCACAGATGGCAAAGGATAGCGACTAGAATGTGCAAGAAAATCACATAAATGATTTAAGAAAGTTGGAACAGGTGCAAGACATGTGATCTGTTTATGTTGCAGTGTGTGAGCAAAATATTCAAAATCCATATTGCCATATGGACGTAACATCACGACAGTCGCGCACAAAAGTAAACTACCCATGATTTCCATGACATGTACATCGTATGTCGGGGCACATATTTGAAACACTGTGTCTTGCTCGTTTATTACACCAGCATTCTGTATAGAATGCACAAAATTTGTGAAGTTTCGATGCCGTGTTTGAGCCTATAACATATCAAAAAACTGACAAAGATACTTTGAAAAATGCGGAAAACATACTGCTTTGGGTGTTCCAGTGGAACCACTTGTAAAAATAATGTACGCGACATCGTCTGATACTGTTGCCACTTTTGATAGTCGGTTCAGATCAATGACACATTCGGTGACATGGCTCGTTAATATTGAGTCAATATCAAGTGAAACAATGTCTTGATCGAATTTGGTCTTAGTTACATGATGGACAAGAACAAGACGACTTTGAGTTTGTTGTACAAGAGCACGTAAACGATGTTGTGGATCTCGAAGTGATAATGGACAATAAACACCACCAGCCATTTCAATTCCCATAATACCAATCACCTAATCAAAATCAATATCAAACTCACACTAATAGTACTCATCTTAATTAACTTACCATCGACAAACTTCGCTCAACACATTGACACACGACCTCACCTGGAGTGATACGATATTTATTAAGGAGAGTTAAAGACAATACTTGGACATAATATAGAAGTTCACAATATGTCAATGATTGATCATCTAGTTCAACAGCTGCTTTTTGTGGATGTTTCATTACTTGATACACAAATTCATGATGAATACAACTGACAGGAGTTGGAAATGATATTTGTGTATTATTCAATGATTGCATTAGATATTGTTCATTTGATAATATTA